TTTCTGTTCACTCGGAGTTAGACCAACTCTCTAGAAACTTTATTTGGGGATCAGATGAACAACACAGGAAGATTCACCTTATTAAGTGGGATACAGTTTGCCAACCTAGACATCTTGGAGGTCTGGGATTAAAAAAGTCTCGAAAGGCAAACATTGTGGCTATGTGCAAGCTCAATTGGCGTTTGCACTCTGAGAAAAGCAACACTTGGAGTAAATTGTTTTGTCGAAAGTATTCTATTGTTGACCCTCGTGATCCTCTTCCTAATCATGGATCCCCTACACTCCAAGCCATGAAAGAAGGTCGTAGCCTATTCCAAAGAGGTTTAAGATGGATTCCTCGTAATGGAAATTCTATTTTCTTTTGGAATGATTGTTGGGTTGGAAACCAACCCCTCTCTAAGGTTTTTTATGGGCCACACCTCCCTTCATCAGATTCCGTTCTTCTTGCTGATGTTTTGTTGGATGGCTCAACAAGTGGCATTGCTTATCACCTCCCGCAAGAACTCTTGGCTCAAATGCAGGCTATTCCTATTGCTACCAATACTACACTTGAAGATAACTTCTCACCTTCCTCTGCTCTTTGTCTACTACGTGATCTTCCTACCACCAAAGACTGCACCTGGAGTTGGATTTGGAAGGTTGTTACCCTCCCTAAAATCCAATTCTTCATTTGGTTGCTATCTCATTGTCGTCTTAAATCTTTGGCTTTCCTTCATCGCCTTAATATCTCTCCATCACCGAATTGTCCTAGATGTCATGATGCTGAGGAGACCATTGATCACATTTTTAGAGGATGCCCACTCTCTATCCACCTGTGGAACCTCCTTCTTCCTGGTGCTATAGTTCCTGGAGAGTATTCCACCTTCACTTCATGGTTAAAAGCTAACTTGGTCTCTACTGTTATATCCCCTGTCTTTTCTATTCCTTGGGGAACCTTTTTCTCCTTTATTATTTGGGGAATTTGGCTCTTTAGAAACCATGTTTTGTACAGGATGTTAATACCTCACTCCAGTCCTGGTCCACGTCTATTACCTTTAGAGCAATTGACTTTTGGAGCTCCATCCCTCCCCCTGTTGCTCTGAAGACTAGAACTCAAGGCCTCTTTGCTTGGTCCAAACCCTCTTTTGGTTGTATTAAGCTTAACACTGATGGAGCCTCTGAAGGGAATCCCGGTCCTGCAGGAGCTGGCGGTGTTTTCCGGGACCACTTGGGTAATTTTATTATTGGATTCTCGCGTAAGGTTGGCTTTGCAACCTCTCTCGCTGCTGAATTATGGGCCATCAGGGATGGCTTACTTATTGCCATTCACAGGGGTTTCAACAACCTTATAGTGGAATCTGATTCTAAAACTGCTATTTCTATGATTACTGCTGGATCTTATAACTGTCATCATCTCAGCACTCTGATTTTGGATTGCAGGGAGCTCCTGCGTCAGTTTGAGAATATCCAAATTGGTCATGCTGTTAGAGAATGCAACATGACAGCTGACTGCTTTGCTAGAATGGGCACCACTCTATCTTCTCCAAGTTTTTGTATTTTCGAAAGCTGCCCTCCGTCAGCGGCTTTCTTTTGTTGTGCTGATGCTTATGGGGTTTGTTTTGCTCGGCCCCCTTGATGTACCCTTATTGTAGCTTTTAATAATATCTCTCTATTTATCAAAAAAAAAATTTTACATTTATTGCAGTAAGTAATCCCCAAGCAACTTCTGTATTCCACTCTTTTCAAGAGCTACAACAGCCTACTGTGGAGAAGTTTGATGGTGCAACCTCTGATCCTGATGTTCCTCAGTCATATTCAAATAAACTAGTTGTTTATGTTCTTTTAGTGGGGTCATCCCATGTGTTGAAGTTGTTTTTTTCAGTAGTTGCAGATTCTTAATGATTAATATTGTTCTCTGAAAAGCGAAAACAGATAGTTTTCAAGGGAAATTGTCAGTTGTTCCTGGTACAAATTTACCCTCCATTCAAGCAGGTGAGGAGAAATCTAACAGTGATTCTGGATTATCATGTGAGTCCGAGAAGCACCTTGATTTTGCGTTGTGTGAAGATATCCTGGAAAATTGTACTCTTGGTATGGAATCCATACAATACCGGGCATTGGTATCCTTTACAGAACCCAATACCATGGGTCAACTTTTGAGCAACAACTTTCCTAGAAGGCAGGAGTTTAGAGGGCAGCCACAGATGCAAGAAGAGTATCAGGTACTTTTCAATTGTGTTTGCCAAACTTTGGCCAGAAAAACCTAATTCAATGAATTTCAATTTTGGTTTCTGGCATAGTCAGTCATTAGAATTCATTGCTACAAGATATTGTTGTCTACCTAGTATATATGGAGAGGTATATAGTATATCATACTAATCTCTTTAACTTCTTTGTTCTGAAATATGTTTTGGAGTATGCATATAGATAGCTGGTGATAAGGTACCAGGAAATTTTCATTGCTTCTTACTCTCTGCAATCCTTACTGAACAGTCATATACTATTTAGTAATGTGAACTTTGTTCCTTGCTTCCTACCTGGTCTATGTCTTAACTTCCGTTTTCTTGGTCTGGCCATCTAGGGCCTCTGGGCTGTATGTCTTGTAATCATTCAACCCTGGTTCTCTTCTTTCACCATCTTCTTTTTGGCTTTTATGTGTGTGTTCACCCTGATCCACCCCAATACTTGCTTATAGCCTATTGTTAATAGGGAAATTGAAGTATTGCTTACTTATGTGCCTATTTTAAAACTATATTTTGCTTCCTTTCTCTTGCATTAGTGCTGTTTTTTGTTTCTTAGTGCCTAAACCACACAGCATGGTGGCAACTAATCTGAAGTTATTTCCATTAAGCCATTGGCTTTATGCATTGTGGTTATTAACTTGTTGTAAGACATGCAGTATATCATGTCATACTCTTTTAACTTTTTCATTTGGAAATATTAATAGGAGTATGCATCCGGATATGTAGTTAGTTAGTGATATACTCAGGCGGCGGTAAATGTTGGGTCTAACTCTCTACTGTCAGCCTTATCCTATTTGGGTGTCTTATGGGAATTAACTTTGATATATCATGTCATTCTTTGATAGGACTATCCCGATATATGGTTAGAGATATACTACCAGGCAGTTAATGTTGGGGCTAACTCTCTACTGTCCTTAGCGTAGTAGTCTTACTCCTGGATTCCAACAAAGCATGTCTTTACTCCGTTTTCCTTGGTCCTGGCTTAATGTCTTTCAATTCTTCAATCATATCTTTGGGCTGTACTCGGCCGAATATTTCTTTTTATATTTAATTGGGCTGTACTCGGCCGAATATTTCTTTTTATATTTAATTGGGCTTTACTCTATCTTTATCCATTTAATCTTCAACCCGCGAAACCTCAACGGTCGGATCTTTCCACCCTTTCTCTCTCACTGCAAGAAAAATGATTCAGAGCCAAAGAAGCAATCTCGAACATCTGAAATCTTCGCATGGATTGTTGGTATAACGTAAATAGTGAAGGGTAATAATGGGTGTGGGAGGCAAATTTTGGGAACTTCTAAAACCCTACGGGCGCCATGAAGGGTT